GTGAAGTAAAAAACAGAGTTAACGTTTCGGTCACCGGACCCGAAATATTAACTCTGTTTTTTCCTTCATAGATGCTGCCAGACCCGCTGAGCTTTTCCAGCAACTTTGGTTCTGTTCCTTCTCGATGGAAATGGTTGTGCGTTTAGAAGGTGCTGTCTGAGGATCTTTGATGAACTTCTGCAGTATGCTGTAAAATGTCTATGTCCAAACACACAGCAATTTTATTTCTTTCCGCTCATGGGAAAGTGGGATTGTTGGTTTGGCCATTGTTTATTGTCCTTCCCTTATTATCTGGAGGAGGCGGTGGTGAGTTGCCATTTTGAACTGACACTCGTGCAAGAACATCCAGTGTTGTTAGGAATTTTCTTTGTACTTCCTGCACCTTAGTCTTTTTGTTCACTGTTCTTTCACCTTTCCCTTTTGCAGACATCTTAAATTCTTTATTGCCTACCATGCTGCCCAACATACAACCCCCCACCCCCCCATAGTAACCTCATTTGTCTTTGGATAAGCGTTATTATTCCATTCTCTTCAGCCATTTCCTGATACCCCTTATCTGCCACAACATTTGCCTGGCTTTCTTCTTCATTTACTTGTGGAAAAAGTTTTGGGCAATTAATCCCACCCAAGTTATTTATCACCATATCGCCCCAAAGTTTATTCGCAGCCACGTTGATTCAATATCTTTTCTTATTTGATTGCTACAACAGTCTTAATGAAAAATCCTTTTCCTAATCTTAAGTTCACAAAACTTGGGGCTATATGTATGGAAATCTTAGAAAGTGGCAGGACAAGTTGAGAGAGTTGTAAAATAGGGGTAACCATATCGTAAATTCAATCTGAACTGGAATATTGGATTCAGTTTGATGCAGCACACTTTAGGGAGGACGTAATGGTTTTAAGGAAGGTGTAGAAAATATTGACAAGGATTCTCATCAGTGATAATGACCACTACCAGCTTGTGGATTGTGGGTATTGCCACCTCTCCCTCAGGCGGTTCAGGAAATTTGCCATATCCATAAGGTCCCTCACCAACTTCTACAAATGCACCATTGAAAGCATACTGTCCGGGTGCATAACGGCCTGGTATGGAAAGTGCTCTGCCCAGGACCGTAAGAAACTACAGAAGGTGGTGTGCACAGCCCAGACCATCACGGAAGCCAACGTTCCATTCATGGACTCCATTTACATGGCTCACTGCCGGGCAAAGGCGGCCAACATCACCAAAGACCCATCGCACCCCGGTAATGATCTCCTACAGCCTCTTCCATCAGGTAGAAGGTACAGAAGCCTGAACACACTCCTGGCCATTATCAAACTGATGAATGGACTCCCTAGCCTCAAATAATGCTGGTCTTGTTAAAGTTGATCTCGCTTAGGGCACACCCTGTGCGATGTAACTTATGTGCCTCTAAGTCTGTTTGATTGGTATGTCTTTTTCTTGCTGTGATCTGCCTGTACTGCTCGTAAACAAAGGTTTTCACTGTATTTTGGTACACATGACAATCAATCAATCAATCTTTCTTTGACCAGGTCTAAGAACCTGCTTGGTTCAGAATGACAGAGAGAAACCATCAGTGAGTAATGATGAGGAGAGTCCCTTGACTTTAATAAGATGGAATTCACTGCTTGGTAAACAATCAGGTGCAAGTTATAGTAGTAAGTTGCGAACTTGTTATTAAGAATATTTGGTGACATGGATATAGGTTTTCTTGCCAAAAAAATCTTAAGATTTTAGTCTTTCCAATTCAAATCATGGACGAGGTGATGGCCTAGTGGTGTTATCACTGGACCGTTAATCCAGAGGCTCAGGTAACGTTCTGGGGACCTGGGTTCAAATCCCACCACAGCAGATGGTGGAATGTGAATTCAATAATAATCTGAAATCAAGAGTCTAATGGTGGCAATGAATCCACTTTCCATTGTCAGTAAAACCATCTGGCTCACTGATATCCTTCAGGGAAGGAAACTGCCATCCTTACCTGGACTGGCCTACATGTGACTCCAGACCCAATGTGGTTGACTCTCAACTGCCCTCTGGGCAATTAGGGATGGGCAACAGGGGTGGGTCTGGGTGAAATACTCTTCAGAGGGTTGATGTGGACTTGATGGGCCAAATGGCCTGCTTCCACCTGTAGGGATTCTATTGTTTCTAATATGTCCTCACTTCTGCACAATCAAGGAATCCCCTTAATTGTGATTGACAGGACCCTTCACCATATGTGATCTGATTCATGTATTTCTGCTCTTGTCCTGTCCCCTCTTTATACCAGAACAGCCTGCGTCCTCACCTTCCACTTCAACAGACCATCATCCATCATTTCTGCCACCTCTAGGCTGGTACCATCACCCTCCTGTCAGCATCCTACAGTGACTCTTCATTCTGTGACAGCTTGTTCCATCCTTTAGTCACTCCCAACAGACCCTCCCTTTCCTACAGCACCTTCCCAGGGAAAACCTAGAGTTTCAATGTCCATCCTTTTACATCCATCTTCCTCACTTTCCAAGGCCACACACACTCCTCCCAAACGAAACAACAACTTACTTGTACTTTCAGTGAGATTTACCATATCTGCTACTCCCATTAATTTCTTGTGTTTTCACGTCTTAGAATGTATTGTTATAAATATTTTATTTTGCAATTATAAAAGCATTGAATTATTTTGTTTTATGTTTTTATATATATTGGTCCTCTTTATTCTGCATTTAAATTATATCCATGCCTTCAAATCAACCTGCAACATGACAAAACTTTTGACTCAATTTTCAGACAAAATTAAAGTTACAAACAATCTGATTATTCTGTATTCACAAATTACTCCCACTTACAGTTGCCAGATAATTCTCATAAATGTAGTTCTGTCCACTGGTATAATACTGGCATCTCCCTGCATGAAGTGGTCTTAGATCCTAGGAACAAGACATGTTTTTTTTTAAAAAAAGCCATCAATCACGTCAACATTCAATAAATTTCAAAAACAATCCAAACCAATTGTTCCCATTCACTATCACTGACCTGATCATACACCCTGTATCTGACATTCACCCACTCGTGTTTCATTCTGAGGATTGATTTAAAAATCCATTTCTGTTTGCTGCTTTGTCCCAACTCTCAACCTGTGTTTCCAACCTCCAACTAGATTACAGTCGGGGTTGGGGAGAGATCCCGTATGTTTTAGAAAAGTTCCCTGAAAGGTTGGATGAAGTTGTTGGTGCCTGAATGTAACGCTTTGTTTAAAGATCAGGAATAATGTTGCAAAGTTTAAAATGTGGTGAGTGCTGCTCGGTGAGGACTGATATTTTTGTGATGTTGTCTTCGATTGAAAGATAAACATGACTCACAATGCTGACAGCTGTGAAGACACCATCCACAACGACACAGATGAAAGCTCCTACAATTCCAAAACTGAGGAAGGTGATGGCTGCAACCAACTGTCACATGGAAAAGGAAACAAAAGCAGATTAAAAAATGAACCATTTAGTCACTTTAATTTGAAACTCAAAAGGCACTTTTTGTGAATAAATGCTAAATAATGACGTGTGTTACAGTTTCTGACTGAACAACAACTTGTGATTGGAGACATTAAGGACTGCAGATGCTGGAAGCCAGAGTCTATAGGCGTGAGGCTGGAAAAGCACAGCAGGTCAGACAGTATCCGAGGAGCATTAAAGTCAACGTTTCAGGCTGTAACATTGACTTTCCTGCTCCTTGAATACTGTCTGACCTGCTGTGCTTTACCAGGCTCTCACCGATAGACAGCAGCTTGTGATTGATTTATTGTTGTCCCACGTACCGTGATACAGTGTAGTGTTGTTTTGAATTCTATACAGACAGATCATACCATACAAAGTGGATCAGGGTAGCAGAACAGAATGTAGAATACAGTGTTGCAGCCACAGAGAAGGTGCAGAGAGAGAGAGAGAGATCAACATTAACATGTGAGAGGCCCATTCAAAAGTTAGGTAACAGCGGGGAAGAAGCTGTTCTCGAATCTGTTGGTACGTGTATTCAAACTTTTGTATCTTCTCCCCAATGGAAGAAGGTGGAGGACAGTATAATTAGGATGGGAGGGGTCTTTGATAATGTTGGCTGCTTTCCTGAAACAGCGGCAAGTATAGATGGGGAGCTGGTTTTCCTGATGGAACGGGCTGTGTTCACGACCGTCTGTAGTTTCTCGCGGTCTTGGGAACAGCAGTTTCCATACCATGTTGTGATCGATCCAGATAGGATGCTTTCTATGGTGCATCTATAAAAATTGGTAAGAGTCCTTGTGGATTTGCTGAATTTCCTTAGCCTCCTGAGGAAGTAGAGACATTGTTGTGCTTTCTTGACTGTCACATCAACATGGGTGGACAGGACAGATTGGAGATCATCACTCCCAGGAACTTGATGCTCTTGACCTCAGCACCATTGATACAGACAGGGGTGTGCCCTCCAATCTGTTTCCTGAAGTCAAAGACCAGCTCCTTCATTTTGCTGATGTTGATGGAGAGATTGTTGTCATTATACCATACGGCTAAACTCTCAATCTCTTTCCTGTACTCTGCCTCGTCGTTGTTTGAGATCCAACCTGCAATGGTGGTGTCATTGGCAACTTATAAATGGAGTTGGGGCAGAATTTGGCCACACGGCCATGAGTGTATAAGGAGTGTATTGGGGGACTAAGTATGCAGCCTTGCAGGACGTCGGTGTTGAGGATTATGGTGGAGGAGGTATTGTTCCCTATTCTCACTGCGGTCCACGGGTCAGGATGTCGAGGATCCAGTCACAGAGGGGAGAACCGAGACCTTGGTCTCAGAGTTTAGAGATGTGTTTGTTTGGAATTATGGTGTTGAAGGTGGAACAGTGGTCAATAAGTAGGAGCCTGATGTAGGTATCATTGTTATCCAGATGTTCCACGGTTAAGCATAGGGTCAGGGAGATGTCATCTGCCATGGACCTGTTGCAGCGATAGGCAAATTGCAAAGGATCAAGGCAGGCTGGTAGGCTGGAGCTGATGTGAGCCATGACCAACCTCTCGAAGCACTTCATCATTATGGAGGTCAGCACCACAGAGCGGTAAGTCACTGGGGCACGCTGCGTGTGTTTTCTTTGGCACCGGGATGATGGTGGTCTTTTTGAAGCAGGTGGGGACTTCAGATTGTAGCAAGGAGAAGTTAAAGACGTCAGGGAATACTCCCACCAGCTAACACAGGATCTGAGTGCACGGCTGGGGACTACATCCAGGGCCAGAAACTTTCTGTTATCCACTCTCATCTAATGTCTATGGCAGTGACTGTAGGTACAGGTGCACTGGGGCTGTTGGGATAGGTGACATCGTTTCACTGACCTTCTGTTCAAGGTGAGAGTTTGTGTTTACTTATATTGTGTCTTTAATGTAGTGAACAGGGGAATGATGGAATTTGGTGCAAGTTTGGACCCTGGCAGCAGAGTCTTCAATCACCTCAAGTATCCAGAGGTTGGAAGGTGGGAGTGTTTGGGAGTAGTCAAGTCTCTAAAGGCAATGATGGCATGAGTGAGGGTTTGGCAACAGCTAAGCTGAGCCCAGTGCAGATGTAACCACATGAAGGTGGTTATAAGTTGTGGCCTTACTTATGGTGTTAATACCTGGCTGGAAGCTCACCTCTGGATTAGCCACAATATCAAGACCGCAAACAGTAAAGCTGACCCTGAGACAATTGCCATGGAGTAGGGTGGAGCTGGTGGCTACGGAACTGAATTTACATTGGGTAAACTGAATGGCTTTGATTTCCAAATATTTAATTGAAGGAGATTTGGATCAGCCAGAACTGGCAGCTGGACAAGCAGCATGAAAAGAAATCCAAGGGACTGGGTGGGTTGAGAGAAGTAGTTCTGAGAGGGAGAGCTGGGTGTTATCAGCATTCATATAAAAAGGAGTGTTTAGTTTGGTGCGGCTGAGGGATAGTGCACAGATGACCATGAGGATGAAGCTGAACCTGATCCTTGGGGTTACCAGTGATAAGGATACAATACTGGGAAGAGAGACCTCTAGTTATTCCATGTCACTCACTATGTTAATTATCATCCAGAAATTTTATTCTTTGTGGAGTGGTTCGTTTGCTCTAAGTACAACCTGATGGTGAGTGAACTGCATTTCTCGAAGCTCCTTGGTCTGGTTTGAACCTGCTTCCTCGAACTTCCCATCTTCCTGTGACATCTCATCCTTAAAAAAACACATGCACTCATTCTCTGAGCTTCTTACAACACCACTCAAGTTTAAATTGTAAAGTTGTCTCATGAAGTCAACCTTTAATCGTAGTTACGAGTCTCTCATGCATTGTTTCCCCCAGTCAGGAACCTTGTGCACTTGGAATCTGTCTGCCTCTCTGGAAGTGTTGAGAGCCTCATGCTTGCTTTTTCCTGGTGCATTCTGAATGATGGGGTATGGGTGACTGTAAAATCCCACTTCGTCCAGCCCCGCTATCTGTCCTGACAGTGAAGACAGCAGGTATCGCACTGAGAAAGGCACTGAAGGTGAGGAATCTCCAAAAACACAGAACCCGGGAGAAGACAGATTGCCTCATTCAGGGAGGTCCCACTAAATGGGACTCACTACCATGACTGAATTACTGGAGATTGCATTGCTCGGAAGTCCTGACCCTGCAATATCCGTGTTGGACATGAAGGGGCTGAAATCTGGGAATTGTGCCCTTTGCTGTTTTTTTTGTGCTCGCCATAGGTTTTATGTCGAGATCACATCGAAGACAGAACTTGTTCGAAGCTGCTCCATTGCTGAAAACTTACTGGGCATGTTCTGTAAGTAGATTCTTTACCATCCTAGACAAGCCGGTCCCACTTAGTGCAGTAATACCCTGGGGGGTGGACATTACAGAGTTCCAGCAGAGACAGACTGAACAATAAACGCGGGAGGTTAATGGTGAACTTAACCTCAGACCCAACAAATATGTGGCCCCCTTCTCCACAGAGTCTGCACAGTTGAGTGTAATTTCAGCAATTATAGCAAATATTGCTATTTATTTTCTTTGTCAAAAAGTGCAGGGTAAGCGTTCTGCATCTCTACGTCTTCCTGCATTTTGCCACACCTTCATGTTATAATGGATCAGGTTTATAGTGCCACTGTGACCGTTCTTCGAATCTACTGTCAAAAGGGTTCAGCTCTGGTATCCACGTTAGCTGAGTGTTTTGTTTGTTTCTGCTTCTCCAAGTCATTTTAAAAGTCGATGACAAAATTTTATTCACAGGTTTCATTTGGAGCGTTACATCAAGGTGGTATTTCTCTTTGAAACATCAAGCTCTTTGGCTGCTTTAGGCTTTCCCAGGGTGTTTTTCATCCAAAGCTAACATTTCCCTGTTGGCAAACCAAATAAAGCAGAACAAAAAAAATGGCAAGTGTCAGTCAATAGCCCAGGCAATAATGGAAATAAAGGAGGAATCAAGGAAGTGAACACAGGAGGAAAAGAGAGGTTATGTGAAAAGATTAACAAAAAGCATTGAATTGAATTGAACCCTAAAAGCATCAATTTTAAAAGTCTCATCTTTTTAAATTTCTCCATGACCTTGCTCCTTTAACTGCCTCCAGAACCACAATCCCTGATTCCTATAATTCTGGACAGTTATAAATTCCTGATTTTTAATTGTTTTCAGCTGCCTGGGCTCAAAGCTCTAGAATTTGAGCTTGCTACCTGTCTGCCTTGATACCACTTTCCTGTTTTACAGCTCTCCTTTACAACATAATTCTTTAACCAAGCTTTTGGTTATCAGCCACCTGTGTATCTGCATGTGAAATGTTCTGTGTAAATGGCTTGTGAGATGCCTTATGTGGTAAAAGGTGTAGAGTACATTTGAAAATCGAGGCAGAAAGATGTGTGATCAGTTCTGTGAAGATTTTTGCAGGATCAACAAGACATTTGGAACAGTGAGCTAAATATATCAATCCAAAGAAAACATTTGACTGCAGCAGAGTGCTTGAGAGAACCCCTGTGGTGTTTACAGATAAACTATTTATATTGTTGGGTTTATGGTAGGCAGAATAAACATATGAAGGTAATTAGAGATAGTAGGAACTGCAGATGCTGGAGAATCTGAGATAACAAGGTGTAGAGCTGGATGAACACAGCAGGCCAAGCAGCATCAGAGGAGCAGGAAGGCTGACATTG